ATATACAGGGTGTCCCAGAACTGCTTTTGGACCGGAAAATGGGCGATGCCTGGAGGTGCCCTGAGTACCCTCTCGCAAACCGTTTGCCAAAATTCGCAATAGTTTTTAAATGAGAAGCATTTAAGTGCGACTAATCAGAACGAAGGAAATTTCCGCGGAATAGCAGCGTGGTGGGAAGTACACTCGCGGATGCCAAAGATAGCTGCTTTGCAATAGCTTTCCACAAATTCCGCGCTTAGCAATCGTTTCATAGCCCGAGCGAGCGTCGTAGGATTCATTGACAAACTACTACTATGGGCATGGGCGTGACTTAGACTGGCGCAGCAGCTACACGTGCAACGCGCGATCGGCAATTGTTTCGGGATATGCATTCAGCCAGACGAAAAGCGGTACACGGTATCCAAAACGTCATGCACTGAATTTTATAGCAGTCCGGAGGAAAACAGATTATTAAAGTGAGAGGGAGTCGGGAGGGTGGGTGGCGGGACTGATGGATTAAATTTAAAAGGAATTGAAAACTAAGCATAGAAGTATTTTTTTTTGTCTTGTACATAGCTGTACCGAATTTCCAAGACATCGCGATTGCTGATTACAAAGTTATAGAGTACTCATCGATTCTGGAGACTGTAAAAAATACGTAAATAGGAAAATAGATTAGGAGAGAAACGCAAAGACACGTATCCCTTTTCTTCGTCCCAAAGAGGGTACTCAGGGCACCTCCAGGCATCGCCCATTTTCCGGTCCAAAAGCAGTTCTGGGACACCCTGTATATGTGATATGAGATTTTTAGGACACCCTATATAAAGTAAAGATAAAGTGAACTTAAGATAATAATAGGCGTAACAAATGTTTCAAAACGTAATACTTGGAATACAGAAATTAATTATAGAATAGGCACACATGCGTTATTCATATCAAAGCGCTTACGATTTAATAGCAAACGCTACTTTCTTAATACTCAGTGAAAAATTGGATATCCCAGATAGTTTTATAGGATAATCGGGTACATAATATAAAAATAGGATTGTTTTCGAAATATTCCTTAGAACAAATATTAGGGTAGGAAGGTTGTTTATGCCTGAGCGAATAAGTTGCACTATTAAGAAATACTCAGAGGATATTGATTTTGATTAAAGAGAATAAAAATGTGTGTCATAATTGTTATTTTAGGTCGACTGACAAAATGATTAACCTTCTACGTCAAGTAAAATGTTAGGAAGAAACTACTAATTATAAGTGATTTGCAATTGTTTATGTACTCTTCAAGAAATGTGTGCCGAAATTTGTGCAACTATATCATAAGCGATTTTAGCATGCTTTTTTAACAATTAATGCTGACTTTGATAATCAATGTCCGTAAATCTAGTGTTAAGTAGGTCGTTCTATACGTCTGTAGGACGGATGACGGGAACACCTTTAGGATGTCATTTCTGGGTAAAATCCCAGTCAGACATCCATATGACGTCTTCTGGACGTGTCTGTGTTATGGGGAAAGACTCAAGGTTTTGAAGAAGCTTAGTGTAGCTGTGGTCCTATTCTCTAATTCATATCGACAGTTTTCGGTACCGTTGGGTCAGATAATTGTATTTCTTATGGATCATTTCTCACGCAGAGCAAAAAGTCCAAAAAGGCCCCAAAGTTTCTTGATCACTTTCCTTCGAGACAATCCTTTATTTTGTTCTTAATTCATATTGGAATCATTTTACAACCTTCTGCCCTTCCCTTACATTGGATCCGAAAACTGATGTACGCTTGGAATCCAATTCGGGCCCAATGAAGCCCCGGTCACTTTTCTCGGATGAGAATCATCATGTTGTGCCCCAGGTTCAATTTGAAGTCATCGTATAATCTCTTGTTCGATAATCCAGCTAATTAAGGCAACATTGGTTGGACACCCAGTCGATTAAGACAAGGTAAGGTCGTAGAGTGGCTACTGTAATAATCATTTCGCATCTCTTTCGATATTAAGTGTTCGAAGTGCCCGTCGTTATTCCCTAAGCACACAGTTGGTATGCGTCTGAAGTTTTACACGACTTCCCTAAGTATTTGTTGGGTAGTCACACGACAGACACCTCCAATTCTATCCATCTTGCTCAGTCTTGTCGTTAGAGCTGTTTGATAAACAGTATTTTTCTTTATTAATTTTATTGAACTACCATTGTTAAGTTGGAGAAATCATCAATAGCAAACTCAGTCACTAATTATAGACTACCTGTGTGCTTAGAAAATAGGATGGGCACTTCGAAGACTTAATGCCGAGAGAGATCCGAAATTATGATTCAAGTAGCCATTCTAAGTCTTTATCTTGTCTTAATCGACTGGGTTACCAACCGATTTTGACTTAATTAGCTAAATTATTAAACAAGAGATTAGATGATGACTTTCTCTCTCCTAACCTCTACGCGCATGAAATAAACGTTATCTTGATATTAATATTAATAATCTTACCTCGCTGCAATGTAAACGTTACATGAATGTACTACCTGGATACATATAATGTTATAGTTCTTTACATTTTTACCGTAAATACATTTTTTTAATCTTAAATCTGGCACAGTAAAGAGATTTTTGATCAAAAAGTAAAGTTTTCTTTCGATGGAAAATAATGCAATCGTACAACGCGTATAAATTAGATCATCATTGAAAAGAAACCGTCAAAAGAAAAAATGACCTTGCAAATTATCGCTTTTTAATTGAACATAATATATTTAAAAAATACTTAAACATCTTTTTTTAATGTTACAGGAATTCGATCATCCATACATACTGCTACAAAATGCATACAGTCAATTTAATTCATTGGTTAAGGAAACAGGACGCTCTATGTATGAGCAGTTGGTTAAAGTAGCGAAGCAAGCATATATAGAGAAATATGGTGAACGATAACCTATGTATGTTCAACAACATGAGTGGATCACTTGAGCCTTATTGTTATGTTAAGATCTTACTTGAAATTTTGTAGTTCACATTATGTTTATGTATGTTAATGTGTCAAAAAGGGTATATTTTTAGAATATTGAAATGAAATGCAATTCATAAATGGAAAATGTTATAGAAAGGTAAATGAAATGAGCTGCCTTTATACTAGTATAAAGAATTGATTGAATATTTATTTTTTATAATACTTATTTTATTTACGATTTCTTGACCTACAGAGAGAACTCGATTGGCGGAATCTCAACTTTCCTACATTTAGTCTTGTATCAGGCATAAACGAATATGCCTATAATTGTATAATATTCTACAGTTGACTGTCTATAGAGGCGCTTCGTATAACTGCGTTTCCCCTGAGCTCTCTCTCCAAGTACGCACAGTTATGCGCGCGAGTCTCATATTTCTGGCTCTGTCTGACGCCCATCTGTTAAAGTTGGGGTGCTCTGTAATATCGCACTCTGTCTATCATGGCGTGTCAAAGCCCCAGGTGCGCAACGATACGAAGAGTCGACTGTACTTATTATACAATTAGAACTGCAGGTTACGTTTTTACAAGAGCACGATCGGAAATCGCTTATAAGTTCTATGCCTTGCCAATTCGCAAAATGTAGAAGATTATGCTAATCGTTCGAGTGTTAATCATACTACGTTATTGGTATTAATTGTTGTAACTATTTCACATTCAAATTGCTTTACTTGCTGATAACTACTTCATTCTCGATACATCTTATGCGTCAATATACAGGGTTATTCACGGTATTCAGCTAAAATTGGTCGTGAATAGGTTGAATTTCGTGAATCAGAGCAGGGTGGTATCATTAAAGAAATTAAAGTTAACGTCATGACATTGTTAAGATCATGAATTTCACATTCTTTCATTTTTTTTTTAACAAGACCACACTGCTCCGATTAAAAGAATTGTTCAATTGCGTCCAGCTTCAGCTTGTGCGTATTTCGTGGAAAACTCTGTATACGAATCTGCATTATATCCTGATCCTGATTCTATTAATATGAGTTACTATTATCAAACATGTTTGTATTACTTGTACCCGAATTGCGTGACATGTACACCAATAGGAATTGGTGCTAAACAATTTTGTCTTTCACGTTTTAAATTGTATATTATGAATAATAGTTCATAAGACATTAATTGAAATAAAGACTATGATTTTTAATTTATTTTGTACTATTAATGATCAATTTATTTACGATTCTTTCCTATCCAGATAGGAAACTAGAAAATAATATACGTGTATGTAATAATTCCCCAACCTAATATGCTATGATAAAAGGTGAAATATAAAGATTGGTGTCGATAATAAAGACATCGCGCGGTCGTCTTATAACAACGAAACATAAGGGAAATAGTTATGTCATTACAATATACAACATAACAACAGGAACCAAACAAGGAACGAGTTACAAAAAGAAATTATATCGCTGGCTTATAATAGTTGGTAACGTCCAGTTTAATTAATCGACGATAACTGAAAGCTATTTAATAATGATATTTGATGAACGATCCAACATTTATTCTAATACGCGTGGTTTTATTTTGAGTGACACAACAGTGACATATGGGCGTACTACACAGGACGATCAGCTGGAGAGTGACGACGGAGAAACGTCCACGAGTGGTTTCGTCCACCTCTCAACTACGAGCATCATCAACGAGCATATGTAGCTCTAATGTAGTTCTAGTGTTTAATTTCCATTTGGGATTGCCGTCGGAAAATACCGGGCCCTTGTTGTCCCTCGCACGCTCCTATCTACAGAAGGACGGATGCTATGAATTTAATATAAGATTTGAATTGTCAAGATTATTGTACACGAAATACTACGTAGTACCTACAAATATTTTTTTGTAAACAAAAGAACTTCTTGAAAATCTTGTCTGCATTAGCCCTCCGTAGAATCACCCAATTTTTTAATATTTTGTAGTTCGCGTGGTACTGATCAAAAGATACTATTATCACAACCCAGAAAAATGGACAGTTTTTTCTGTACAGGGTACCAAAGATTTCCGTTCCATAGATCCTAGGACGAATCTTTGTATGAATAATAATACATAGACGCATGGTGGATATCAATTTGGATGGCAAAGTGAAATTAACAATAAAAATACTATGAGTCACAACCATTGAAATAATTCGAGTAACAACTTCACGTTGGCTAGACCGTTTTAATAGGATACTTAAGCATCGGTCGGTAAACTTAAGACCAAATGCTTTAGCTTTAACACTCTATCCAAAGTAAAGGTTGTCTATGGTTGTGAAATACAATATTTTTGCTGTTACTTTCACGTTTTGAATCGGAATTGCGGACCGAACGCCCGATCCGATTTCCCTATCACTGTGGATAACCGCGCAGGCGGCGATAAGTACTGTTGTCACCCAAGGCTCCGTTGGATACAGAAACAAAAGGAAACAATAGCTTTTCCTGGGATTTTTGTGTCCTGCATTTTATTTTCTTTATTCTCGTAACTTCTCGCACCTACTCCTCTCAGCACTCACATACTACTCCCCTTCCTTCATTCGTTTCCTCGGTAATACCCCATCTTTCGCTCCTTTCATTGGTTTAATAAACTTTCACTCAAATCCTATTCGCACTTTCTTTCATTCCTTAATCTCATTCTCTGGTCAGTCATCTGTCGTCCTCATTCGTTGTTATCTCATTCCCTCTTTCTCATTTACTTGATCTTTTCACTTACCCTTTTCTTTGACAACAAACATATCCGATACAGACTCCCCAAGATTACCACTGTCCACTGGTCAATGACTATCATTCATATATTCACACTCACGCATCGCTCACAGTACGATCACTGAGGGAGCTGCCCAAAATATATGCGGAATCTTAAATCTATGTAAATGTGCTCTTATCGGGATTTTGTATGCTTGATAGTGTCGCCGGAGCACAGTGGTTAGAATCCTTGTCCCCACAGGAACGGGGGGAATTCTTTCAGAAGTCGTTGCGTGTATCAAGAAGATTCATAGGATGTTTATTTGCGACGCTGATTATTAGGCGGATTCCATTTATCTAAATGCATGCGAAAGTCTCAGTAGAGTAGATCCTTGGTGCCTCGTTGTTGTCCCTAGAGTGGAAATTCCATTAGAGCGGATTGTCGCGTTTTGGATGACGCGCAAGGTTACGGTTTGTTTTGGTTAGCAAGTAGATTGGTGACATTGCCGTTCCTTAGAGGAAAATTGTATATGGAATTTCTGGAATTTAAATTGTGTAACGCCAGTACTTAAAGTTATGTATTCATTTATTTTGTATCGCGTCTTTCCCTCATTTCATCGTCGTCTAGTGCGTCTGGGGTGAATCTTCGAAATTTCTGTTGATGCTGTCATTATTTTTGGAATATCGTTTGTTAATTTATTTTAATCGTTAATTTTCCTTACAGAAAAAAACTATTGAATTCACAATAGTTACTATTAAGATTGAATAGTAACTATTCATTGTCAATAATGCGTACTACTGGAAAACACTAATAATTGTTTGGGAGATTATAATTCGAAATAGTTACTATCGAAGTTTCATAATAGTTTTTGCAACAGCCTCGAATCCCTTGTCGATCGTTTGCGGAAAGAAGAAAGAATGGCGAGATAATTGTGAGATTGCGTTTTCTTTATTTCACAGTAACAAGAGAGGCAGTAATAGCTCGAAAACCTCCGAGAGACCAAAGAAAATTTTTACATTGGCACGAAGGTCGACAATTTACGCGTGCTGTACTTATCATATACCAGCACTCTCTGAAGCGCGAAATTCGAACATGTGTGTTTGATCATTTTGGTCAACATCCCGATGCTCGCACTATGCGGCAGAAAATGCTCTTTTGCTAACGACTTTATAACATATCCGCCCGTTGACTTTCAGTTGTAACATATTTGACTTCAATAATTTTTAATTCGGCTGTTTTACGCAGATGATAATACCGGATGTCGATGTGTTCAGTTCTTTTGTGGAACTCGTGGTTTTCTGCTAACAAAATCGTGCTCTGATTGTCCACAAATAATACTGTCGCTTGATCACATTGACACCTGATTCCACTTAATAATCGTCTGAGCCGGATGCACTCCTGCACTGCAGTTGATGCAGCAACGTATTCAGCTTCGGTCGTGCTTAGCACAACTAACCTCTGCCGCTGTCACGCTTAAGGTAACATATATGTCTACTTTAAAATTTTCGAAAAAACGATTTTTTTACTTATTTCTCTTCTAAATTATCTCAAAAATGTGTATGGAAAATTTGAAGGTCGAATTCGAAACCAAAAAAATGTATATTGTGACGTGTACCGTTCATCGGCGTCGCGTACAAATAATCCGTGGCTGCTCCCAACGTGCTGTTATCAAAGAAAAGATCCGAAGATCTAATTGTTGGGCGCCAGGTGCGGCTTTCCCGCACCACCATCCCTCACCACGGCCGTTTTCAGGTTTCCCGGCAGCTCAGCCTCAGCGCACTGAAAATGGTAGAGGGGAACATGGGGGCGACGAGAGAGAATTTTGGAGTCAACGGATAGGCGCGCAAAATGATAAAACAGCGAGTAGGATACCGTTCCGTTTATTACCATCAAATAAACGGCAGATTTTACAATACAAATCCCGTCGCGTACAGTGTGTCCTCCAACGGCGACTCCCGACTATTCCGAGTCGTGATTTCTAGCCTGCCCAAGACCTGTCCCTATTTCGGTGTCCCTACCGAATCCGCGAATCCTCTCGCGATCCTAACAGGTCTCGTTGGAGACGAGCCTTTCCTTCCTCGGGAGTGTGCCCTCTGACGTCGGTAGCCACCTGAGGCATCCGTGTGTCCGCACCACTCCCGCTCGGCTATCTTCTCGCGCAAGATATTCTCTAAATAAGACCGCCCCTGCGGTACTTACCGAGAACTGGCTGTCCCATCAGTCCCGTACCAAATCCAAATCGTGGTGGCCGTGCCCCTTCCGCCTAACCCCGTGGGCCGCATCCCGGCTCCACGAGGGTGTCCATCAAACACTCGGAATTTCACACACTCGGCCACGCACTGGCACTAGACTATTCGAACAAACCCGGGAGCCATGGTTCTCTACGAGAGATCCCGATAATCGCGATCGGCGATTATCCGATAGCTCCGCTATCGCCCGAGCACGTAAGAAGGACTTATTTTTCGCGGTCCGCCGGACACCCGTGTCCTCACACG